GCCTGCCTTTGCACATGCTAATCCATCTGCTTGGAGCTGCATCCGTACCTCACCCCTTCAACGCACTCTCACTGTCCCACCACAGATGCATCTTCTTAAGCAAGTCTTAGCTAATACTCCCTTCAAGGCAGAGTCAGTCTTTCTCCTAGCCTTTACAACAATTTTCTCTCTGTGTTATATTGACTTAAAGGTCTAGTTCTGGATTAACTCAAGGTAAGAGCAGAGTTGAGTTTTATTGCATTGCTGCCGTTGTGTCTTGAAATATTTGCATCTATAGGACTTAGCTCAGGAGCACAGTAGATGCTTAATAAACATTTACTAAAATTTGTGGTAAGTGGTAGTGAAGATGACAAAAAAATGTGAGCAAGAAGATATTTGAGTGCTTAGATACAGTGTGTGTGTATACTTATGAGACATGGAATCAAGGACACCAAACGTATAAATACAGAATGATGGAACTCAAAATTCAGTTAGTGAGTACCCCTTGAGGGTTAACTGGCAATTCTTGGAAACAACAACATGGTGCAATGGAAGAAATACACACTGTGGTCAGAGAGACCTAGGTTTGAATTCCAGGTGTGCTACTTATTATCTGAGTCATCTTGACAAGTAATTTAATCTTTTTGTATTTCATCTTTCTCACCTAAAAACTGGCAAGAGCTATGCAGCTTCTAGGGTTGCTGTGAAGATTCAATGATAAAGTACCTAGCAGAATACCTGAAAATAGTGAAGGTTCAATAGGTTAGCCGTTTTACTAGTTTAACCAGAGAGAACACTTTAGGTCTTCGACATTTTACTGATCTTCTAGATAAAAATTAGAAGACCTTGAAGTTTAGATATTAAAAAAAAATAAAGCAACAAAACAAACAAAAAACTAGATATCTCATAATGACGTTAGAAATACTGAGTTTACCTACCAATATTCCTAGATCATATAGATAGATGACAGCCAGGTAGAGGTGAGTATGTTTGTTCCCAAGTTTCTTTGGTTCTACTTGAACATTTTCTTTTGAGAAGTTCTCTACAGAGCACTTTGTAATTCCTAGAGCATATGACTCACACTCTAACCTTTCTCTGCTTGAAAACACTCCCAAAGCTCCTTTGAGGTATTGTCTTGTGATTTTTTGTTGTTCTGGTGATAAATGAATGCAAAGGTGAAGCAGGGGTTTCCCCCTCCTTTCTACAGAGGTAAGGACTTCGAAAAACAAGAGCCAACTCTGAAGAGGGCAATTTGAGGGCAGCAGATGTTTTCAAAGGGAAGTAAACAAAAATTCCAGGGATGTGCATTACAGCAAAAAGGAGTGAAATGAAAGAGAGCACATGGAAGGGCCAGAAGACGGGAAAAACACAAATGGGAGAAGTGAACACACATAAGAAACTATGGAGACACTAATATAGTGGATTGCATTTTCAAAACAAAAATGACAAATATATAATTCTTTATATATATAAAGTGGGACTATAGCAAATTAACTTTAGCTTATCAAACACTTTGTCTTATTCAAGTATTCCCATTATTTAAAAAAAATCACAGACTACAGAATGGAAAATCCATTCATTACCTCCTTGTAACATATGTAACACTGGCATTTAAAATTAATTATTAAAATTAAAGTAACAATAAATAAAGTTAAATATAAATTATGTACCTTCCTCAAAATGCTCAGACAAAAACTAATGGGACCTGGCATAAACATAACCAGTTAAATGAATCAATCAGAGGTTTTTAATAGAGGTTCTATTTTATACCTCAAGGAGCTGTTTTCTCCTTAAACTTTCTCCGTGAATATCTAACCTCGCTGGTCAACCAAGAATTTCTTGGTCAGAGCCTCTCATTTGCCTTTGTTCCTCTTTCATAAGCCTATAACAAAACACCAGCATTTGCAATGTTGTTAAAACCCTATCCAAAATAAATCTCCCTCCCTCCATCTCATCCCACAATCTGGTTCAGACCCACATTTTCATTCATTCTCTTTTTTTAAATTTATCTTTATTGTTGAAAGTATTACAGATACCCACGCCCCCGCCCCCCTTTTATCCCCTTCACCACACTATTGTCAGGCCCACATTTTCGTGATTGGACTACTGCATTAGAGTCCTTATGATCTTCCTGTCTTCAGTCTTATTCACATGTCCCACCTGTCTTTACTCTGGTGCCAGAGAGAGACATCATTCTAACATGCAAATCTGTCACCCCAATCCCACTTCACCCCTATCCCCACCCTAAAATGTTCAATAGGTTAGACCCCCTATGATCTACAGAATAAACTCTAAAATCTTTTTCATGGCACTCAAGACCCTTCACATTCTGGTCTTGGCCTACCTGCTCCTCCTGTATCAATCTACATCCCTCCCTTTTCATTTTCCCCGTCTGTAACCTCACTGTAGCCACCCGCCCCAGCAACCTGCACTGCTGCTGCAGACCTAGCATCTCTCTCCTCTGGCAGGGCCCCTCAAACAGACCTGGACACACACAAATCAGATAGAAGATACAAATGAGACACCAGCTATAGCCCTGCCACTGTGCACATTAATAACAACCCGATTTCCCTTTCTTTTCATTGCATATATTTCTAAGGAAATGAATAGAATATCCTTGTTTTTTGAGAAAGCTTGATGTCATCAGTAGAAATGCTCCAAATCTCTGCCTGCAGTTCTCTTTCTGCAAACACCCAGCACAAGGACTCACAGTTGATCACATTAGAGCCAGCTGTGCCCCAGTTACCTGCTATTTTGATATTCATGTTGTTATCCAGCAGGAGATTTTCAGCCTTGAGGTCACGGTGCACAATCTTCCGACCGTGACAATAATCAACAGCAGACAGGATTTGCCAGAATTTGCGCCTGGCCTCAGGCTCATTTAACCGGCCGTGATTAGCAAGATAGTCTGTAAAAGGAGAGAGAATTTAAAATATTCACCAAAATAAAATGACCCAAACATTCAGATTTGGGATTTTTTCCCTTTGAAAAGTTTTTATAATGACTAAAGGTTCATGCTCAAATACTATGCTGTTTCCAAGTTTCTTGCCTTGAGAAAGCAATTCCAATCATATTTCACTAGAATCCAGAAAAATGAAGAGTCCAAGATGAGACAATAGCTAGTGGCATAATATTCACAGTGCAACTTAAAGTAACCTTTATGACCAAGCACTCTCTCTGTTCTTTTCCTTAAAAATTTACTGAGTACTGAATATTCCTAATCACATTAAAAAAATAACATTTATGTAAAACGAAGAACATGAATCAATTCTCTGACATCCAATCAATCAAGGTTATCTTTCTTTGTTTTGTTTTTTTTTTGTTTGTTTGTTTTTTTTTTAATATATATTTTATTGATTTTTTACAGAGAGGAAAGAGAGAGATAGAGAGCCAGAAACATCGATCAGCTGCCTCCTGCGCATCCCCCACTGGGGTAGTGCGCGCAACCCAGGTACATGCCCTTGACCGGAATCGAACCTGGGACCCTTCAGTCCGCAGGCCGACGCTCTATCCACTGAGCCAAACCGGTTTCGGCTTTCTTTGTTTTTTAAAAAAATGTTTTCATTGATTTTTTGAGAGAGAAGGGAGAAGGATAGATAGAAATATTGATGATAGAGAAACATCATCACTCAGCTGCCTCCTACATGCCTTCTACTGGGGATTGACCTGGCCTGGAATCGAATCAGTTCCTGGGTTGAAGCTCAACCACTGAGCAACACTGGCTGGGCAAGGTTATCTTTCTTTTAAAAAATCATTTTATGTAGTTATTATAGAAACCACCTGTAACATGAGATACAGTAGTCCTTGGAAGTAGCTTCAATAATTCACACCCTGTTGTTCAATCGAGCAATTCAGATCTATCCAAGAACATGCAGACTTGTTCTTGAAACCAAGCACTCTTTTTTTTTTTTAAAATATATTTTATTGATTTTCCACAGAGAAGAAGGGAGAGGGACAGAGAGCCAGAAACCTCGATGAGAGAGAAACATCCATCAGCTGCCTCCCGCACACTCCCCACTGGGGACGTGCCCTCAGCCAAGGTACATGCCCTTGACCGGAATCGAACCTGGGACCCTTCAGTCCGAAGGCCAATGCTCTATCCACTGAGCCAAACCGGCCAGGGAGAAACCAAGCACTCTTATGAGAGACACTGTTCTCTAAAAAATATGCTTTATAAGATACATTAGCCTTCTGTGCAGTGTTATAATCTCTATTAAAACAGTTTACCTGAAAATTAATTCTGCATATATTTACATAAATTTAGTAAAACTAAAATAAATATGCAATTCATACAAGTTTTACCTGAAGATCTTAAAGGCCTCTGAAACGATCTTTTGGGGGAAAGAGAGTAACATAAACCATGACAGGCTTTTCTATTTAATTATTTCCCCCAAGTAAGGAACTGTACCAGTGAATCAATAGTCATAGCACCTTCACACATTTTCTGCTCTAGACAATGTGGTTTACTGTTTGCAAATCCCACACCTTTGGCTCATAGCATATTTACTATAAAATTTACTAACATTTGTATAGCCCTTTACAGTTTATAAAGCATGTTCACATCACAGTATCTCAATCTTCCTAACATTCCTCTATGATAACTATTACTCTAATTTCTATTATATTTGAGGAAGCTGAAGATCAAAGGAATTAAGTAACCTGGCTAAATTCATATATTTTTTAGGTGGATGGCTGATGTGGAACTAGAAATTTTTGAATTTTTTTTAACTCTATCAAGCTGCTTCTTTACTAGATTCCTGTTAAAATCATAACCATCCTTTCAAACCCTACTCAAATGCCACTTTGATATTAAACAGTCCCTCACCACTTCAAGTGGAAATAAATGACTTCAAATCTCTCTTCTTTGAACTCCTCATCACTTATAACACACTGCTTCACACTTTATCTGCATATATATCATAGCTATCCCAAAGTGTGTTCATGCCTGCATACACACACAGCCCCAGTACCAATACAGTGTTTCAGAAAATAAAAAAATACCTTCATTAAAGCTTCCCGAGGGTAGGGACAATATCACTCTTCTTTGTACTTCCCACAATGCTTAACACTGTGCACAAAACATCGTAGGTATAGTATTTAAACACTTAATTGCTTAAGGTCTTATCCTGGATGCTATCATGAAACTTTCCATCAACAGTATTACAAAATATGGAGTATTAGTGTTATACTCTACAAGTTATAGGCTTTAAATTTAGCTGGACATTTTGTATTTCCTTCTATATCAGCTATTATCACAAGCTGAGATCATCAGCTCATCACATCTTCCCTTTGCCTTTACAGAGCCCACATAGTAGCCATCCATAATTCTGAAAGGCAAAAGGGCCACTTAAGAACAAATATGCAGGATTTTCAGTCAAAATGTCCAAACTGTATGTCTAAGTGCACTGGCAAGTAGACCCCGTGCTTTCTATTCCTGAGTATACCCGAGCCCCCTTCTATCCTGGATGAGTTGGGGAATCCAAAATGAAGGGTTGGACCTGTGGGCCAAACTTAATGAGGGAATGCAACGTTTTCTGTGAGGGAATCTCTTTTGGCTGGTTAGTAATATATTCCCCATGATTCCACACCAAATCCTATTACAGTGAGGCAGCTATTTCACAGACAAATAAATGACAGACAAAATTTCTTCCTGTTGAAAATGTTGAGTTAATGTGCATCCTTGAAAAATACTTTTGAAATTTTGGCAATATAGAGAAACCTAACAGATCCAAAGTGAACATGTATGGATTAATATATACGGAAAAAGAACCCAAATTGTTGCCTACAAAATGAGTCCTGGGAAGCACAATAGAATCTATAGCAATATGATTTTTTGAAGCAGTCAGTAAAAAAATGGCACCACCATAGCCAAGGGGGAAAAATCTTTAGTACTTGGCAAGAAGGGTACTATCGGAAAAACTAAGGCACGGTACATCTGAGCCTAAAATTATCATGTAGAGTCACAGTCCTCACATGTCAATAAATGTGTAACACACAGTGTGAGAAAAATGACAACATCTGCATTCCAGAGATTTAAAGAAGTGGTATTTTCACCCCTTAAGCAAAAATCTCAGCGAGTATTACAGCAAGCATATCTATTATCTTCCCCATTCTTTATGATTTCTGCAGTGTAGGCAGCCTTCAAAACTATATACATCTGCTGAGAAATCAGTAGAAGTAACTGAGGCAAAAACCTGTGGCTGCCAGTAAAACCAGTTTAGGTATCCACCATCCTCAGCGAAAGGGCACTGTTATCAATCCAAGCTCCAGTTAATAAACCACGACATCAAGTTACCATGCAAAGAGCACACACACTCGTATGTCACAGGTCTTGTCTACACTCATGGCCTACGTGTGTATTTTTGATAAATGGATACAGTTTTCAAATAATTGTTTTTTTCCTGCCCTAACTGGTTTGGTTCGGTGGATAGAGTGCCGGCCTGCGGACTGAAGGGTCCCTGGTTCGATTCCGGTCAAGGGCACATGCCTGGGTTGCAGGCTCCATCACCATTAGGGGCCGTACAGGAGGCAGCCAATCAATGATTTTCTCTCATTGATGTTTCTGTCTCTCTCCTCCCTTCCTCTATGAAATAAATAAAAATATGTATTTTTTAAAAATTGGCTTTTCCTTATGTTTGCATTTGTACTGATTGTTAAGTGAAATATAATTTTGTTTGTTGACTTTAATAATAAAACTTTTTAAGGTTTTATTTTGTATGTCCTCCCCCCAATTTTGTTTTTATGTTAATTGGTTTTTATTGAATATTACAAAAGTCATGGTCTGTGACACATTGGACAATTAACAAATTGGTCTTTCAATACTGATAGTTTGAGAAATATTGGGATAGACAAATATACAGGCAATTACAATATGCTGTGATAAAGGCTAGAACAAAAATAAATATGTACTAATAAATATATTATTTTTAAAAATCATTTAAAATTTTCTTTTTATTATGAAAGTCTCGCCGAAACCGGTTTGGCTCAGTGGATAGAGCGTCGGCCTGCGGACTGAAGGGTCCCGGGTTCGATACCGGCCAAGGGCATGTAACTGGGTTGCGGGCACATCCCCAGTGGGAGATGTGCAGGGGGCAGCTGATCAATGTTTCTCTCTCATCGATGTTTCTAACTCTCTATTCCTCTCCCTTCCTCTCTGTAAAAAATCAATAAAATATATTTAAAAAAAAGAAAGTCTCTAATATGCATGAAAGTAGAAAAATTAGTACAATGAATCCCTAAGATTCAAGAGTTCTCAAAATTTTGCCATACTTGCTTCATTTATCCTTTTTCCCGTTAAATTCCTTTTTTTTTTTTTTTTTTTTTTTAGGTAAACAAAAGAAACGCTGTAGTAACCTAAAGCAAATCTTGACATAATTTGGTTTCACTCTACTTTTGTATCCCTAAAAAAACACACCCCTATCTTATAGAAATACAATGCCATTATCACATCTAACAAAATCAACAATTCCTTAGTATTATCCAACACACGGTCTGAATTCAGATTTTCCCAGTTGGCTACCTGAATCAGGGTCCAAACAAGATGTATATTTTGCAATTACTTATTTTGCCTTTGGAGTCCTTTCATTCTGGAACAGTTCCCCCCACCCCCCCTTTCCCCATGGCACTGACTTAAAGAAACTGGATTGGATGTCCTACATTCTGGATTTGTCCTTGGCTTCCTCATAATTTTGTTTTGAGTTATTCTTCTAGCTCCTGTATTTCCTGTAAATTGGAATTCAAGTATAAAGAATAGAATAGATTGTTTACATTTTTTTGGAGGGTGGCAAGAATATGTCACAGGTGGATCTACTAGGAGGAATATAAGATCTGGTTCTCCTACTTCTAGGAGCACTAAGATCAATCAATGAATTATGGGGATGACAGACTGATCCTTCAATTAAAAATTTT